GATAAAGGAGGCTGGAGCTGAATAGGGGATGATAATGGGAGGCTAGAGCTGAATAGGGGGATGTTAATGGGAGGCTAGAGCCGAATAGGGGATGATAATGGGAGGCTGGAGCCGAATAGGGATGTTAATGGGGAGGGAGGCTGAGCCGAATAGGGGATGATAATGGGAGGCTGGAGCCGAATATAGGGATGATAATCGGGAGGCTGGAGCCGAATAGGGGGATGATAATGGGAGGCTAGAGCCGAATAGGGGATGATAATGGGAGGCTGGAGCTGAATAGGGGGGATGCTAATGGGAGGCTGGAGCTGAATAGGGGGGATGATAATGGGAGGCTGGAGCTGAATAGGGATGATAATAGGAGGGAGCTGAATAGGGATGTTAATGGGAGGCTGGAGCTGAATAGGGGGATGTTAATGGGAGGCTGGAGCTGAATAGGGGGATGATAATGGGAGGCTGGAGCTGAATAGGGGGGATGTTAATGGGAGGCTGGAGCTGAATAGGAGGGATGTTAATGGAGGCTAGAGCTGAATAGGGATGATAATGGGAGGCTGGAGCTGAATAGGAGGGATGATAATGGGAGGCTAGAGCTGAATAGGGGGATGATAATGGGAGGCTGGAGCTGAATAGGGGGATGATAATGGAGGCTAAGAGCTGAATAGGGGATGTTAATGGGAGGCTGGAGCTGAATAGGGGATGATAATGGAGGCTGGAGCTGAATAGGGATGATAATGGGAGTCTGGAATAGGGGGATGTTAATGGGAGGCTGAGCTGAATAGGGATGATAATGGGAGGCTGAGCCGAATAGGGGATGGGAGGCTAGAGCTGAATAGGGGATGATAATGGGAGGCTGGAGCTGAATAGGGGATGATAATGGGAGGCTAGAGCTGAATAGGGGGATGATAATGGGAGGCTGGAGCTGAATAGGGGATGTTAATGGGGAACTGAATAGGGGATGCTAATGGGAGGCTGGAGCTGAATAGGGGGATGCTAATGGGAGGCTGGAGCTGAATAGGGGATGGTAATGAGGCTGGAGCCGAATAGGGGATGATAATGGTAGTCTAGAGCTGAATAGGGGATGTTAATGGGACTCTGGAACCGAATAGGGGGATGCTAATGGGAGGCTGAGCTGAATAGGGGATGCTAATGGGAGGCTGGAGCTGAATAGGGGATGATAATGGAGGCTGGAGCTGAATAGATAATGGGATGCTAATGGGAGGCTGGAGCTGAATAGGGGATGATAATGGGAGGCTAGAGCTGAATAGGGGATGATAATGGGAGGCTGGAGCTGAATAGGGGGATGATAAATGGAGGCTGATAATAGAGGCTGGAGCTGAAATGGGATGCCGGAATAAGAGACGAAAGGGGGATGATAATGGGAGGCTAGAGCTGAAAGGGGGATGCTAATGGGACTCTGGGACTGAATAGGGGGGATGCTAATGGGAGGCTGGAGCTGAATAGGGGATGATAATGGGAGGCTGGAGCTGAATAGGGTGTGTGTGTTAATAATGGGAGGCTGGAGCTGAATAGGGGGGATGATAATAGGAGGCTGGAGCTGAATAGGGGGGATGTTAATGGGAGGCTGGAGCTGAATAGGGGGATGATAATGGGAGGCTGGAGCTGAATAGGGGGGATGATAATGGGAGGCTGGAGCTGAATAGGGGGGATGATAATAGGAGGCTGGAGCTGAATAGGGGGATGATAATGGGAGGCTGGAGCTGAATAGGGGGATGATAATGGGAGGCTGGAGCTGAATAGGGATGATAATGGGAGGCTGGAGCCGAATAGGGGGATGATAATGGGAGGCTGGAGGCTGAACAGGGGGATGATAATGGGAGGCTGGGAGGCCGAATAGGGGGATGATAGAATAGAATGATAATGGGAGCTGAACAGGGGGATGACAACGACATCGGATGAATAGGGGATGACAATGGGAGGCCGAGATCGAATAGGGACGATAACTGGATCAGGGACGACAATCAGGATACCAGACGAACAGGGGACATACGGATGGACAAATGGAGCCGAACAGGGGACAGATAACAGGAGCCACAGGGACGATAAAGAGAATGGGACCGACCAGGGAACGATACAACGGAGGACGGAGCCAACAGGGACGATAACAGGAGGCCGGCTGAGCCAGGGACGAATAGGATGATTGAACAGGGACGACAACGGAGGCCGGAGCCGAACAGGGACGACACAGGACTGACAACGGACATGGGACGAGCACCGGCAGGCCAGACTGAAAGGGACGCTTAGCTACGTAATGGATAACGAACAGGATCGACAATGGGAGCATGGAAGGAATAGGGACGACAACAGGAGGCCGGAACAGAACGACACAGCCGATAACAGGGATACGGAATGGAGGCCGGATGCCACAGGGACGAATAGGGACGAAAGTGGACAACCGGAGGCTGAACAGAGGGACGCCACACGGATACCAGACTGAACAGGGACGACAATGGAGGCCGATGAGCAGGGGTGGAGGCCGGACTGACACAGCCGGATGTGGACACAGAGGCCGGGAGCCACAGGGACGGACACGACACAGGGACAGCAATGGAGGCAATGGAGGCGACAACAGGGATGACACGGAGGCCGGAATAGGACGACACAGTGGAGGGATGAGCGGAATGGGACACAATGGACATGGAGTGGATGACAATGGAGGCCAAGGAAATGAAGAGACGGAAGGACAATGGGAGGCAGAGCACGGAAAGGGATGCAATGACCAACCGGAAGGCACGGAGGCCGAGAGACAACGGACACCAGTGGATGACACAATGGAGGCTGGATGGACGACACCGGAAGGACCAGTGGAGACTGAACGGAAGGCCAGCTGAATACAATGGATAACGGAGGCCGGAATAGGACGACAACGGACATGGAGCCGGAATAGGGACAGCACGGAGCTGAACAATGTGGAGGCACGGAACGGAGGGACACGGAGGCCGGACAAGGGACACGGAGGCCGACACAGGAGGCCGGAACCGAATAGGGAGCCGGAAGGGACGGACAAATGGAAGGAATGGGGACAGACACAGACAAGGAGCATGGACACAATGGACGAGACACGGAATACGGACACACAGGAGGAAGGAACAGGGACTGACACAGACACGGAGGACAGCGGAGACGAATGAGGCCGGAATGGAGGACAGGAGGACACAATAGGGAGGCGGACGCACGAGCGGAAATGGACACCGGACAGGGACGACAATGGAGTGGCAGGATGGACCCCAGGGAGAGCACGGAGGCTGGAGTGGATGGGACGGAAATGGATGGAGACGAAAGGGGGATGATAATGGAGGCTAGGAGCCGAAAGTGGATGCAATGGAGTATGGAACTGAATAGGGATGTTCCGGGAGGCTAAAGCTGAAATGGGTGGGGGGCGGGGGGCCTTGGTCTCCAGTCGGGAATTACACTTAATCGGTATCGCTACTAGGCATGGAGCAAAGGTGTATCGACAAAGAGTTGAAACAACGTCTGGATCCATTTACTCCTGCTGCTTGAAGTCGCCGTGACCCTCAGCTACATGCTTGTTATCTTTGTCGTATCGCGTTACGCACAGGTATGTTCCATTAAAGGCTCTCGCCACGCCTGTTCTTTCGTTTACGGACCTCTGCCTTCGGAGAAAATAACCCCCAATGATGGACACTACTTTTGTCTTTTTGTGACAGCAAGTTAAACATATTTCAAACAATCGTCTTCAAAACTCATTGATACACAGTATAGGTAGACTTGCACAAGTCTCTAAGGCAATAAATAAGATTTAAATGATAATTTCTAAAAGAATGGGAATAAAAAGAACACATTGTCCCTTTAACAGTCTCGCTTCCTCGTACTGTCCGCTCATCTAGACTTGCCTCTTTGAAGATAGAATTACTATACATCCATTGGCTACAGTATAGGGTACACTGCCACATGGGTTGTAAAAATGTATTTTTGCTCTTTCCTAACCAACACCTTTTGTCATAAATGAGTCGCGTAACAGCAACAACAGAAAAATATAGAATGAAAGCGGCGAAATCGTTGTGACATGAACCGTTTGTTCACAGCATGACTTCTCCCTGGCAAACAAGCTGTATTCATTGGTTACATTTGAACCTACAATTGACGTACAATTAAATAATGTGTGCCTTTTTCTTTGCTTTTGAACATATTACCGATTGGCTGCATATGTTCCGGACTGTACCAGGAACACTAGGGGTTGACAGCACGATCAATTATCAACGAAATGTGTGTCAGGCTTTTTACAGCCATTTCATACACAGTAACCACATAATCCTCATTTCAGCGAGCCTGGGGTATTGAGGATAGTTCTTCCCTGAGTCCTTACACGTTGTTGCTCTTACTGGCCAGTCATTATGGACGCCATTTTGTTGTCTTCTCTGAGGTCCGCTCCCCGTTGAATTAATGGTTTTCCTTATTGCCCGTGCTTCTTTAACGGTATTGCCGTACCTGGAAACTAATGTAGTAACATAATGCGATACGTTTCAGCGTGGCAGCATTGTATTAGCGTGAGAAACTGTAACTCGAATCCCCCACATTCGTGCTTTTTAACGACGAAGGGTTTCTTTGACTCTTTTGCCAAATTGCCCCATACCTTTCACCATCTGGCCTTGAAATCTGCAGTAAGAAATCTCCAACCTGGATCTGTCTCACTTACCGCACAGACACATATGACGTCACAGGGATATCAGATGTCTCCACACAAGGTCGCCAAGTAGGCTTCTCTCACATAGCTATGCAGAGGAGCTATCGCTATGCAGTAGCTATCGATGTTCTACGATGTGAAGGTGAAGATGATGATTATTTACGTACAAACAGTCGCTTTAATTCTTTCAAAAGTGGTGTTTAGACTTAACGATTGTGTGTTGAAAGAATCTCATAAAATACGAGCAGCTAATGGTATTTCATTGCTTTTCTATTTCGAGAATATCTGGAGCCGCAATCAACGGACTAGTATATTATACCTGCGGGAATGCAATCATGGAATATCTCGGCAGGTTTAAAGACGCACTACACTTGACACTAAATGCAATAGTATATATTTCCGAACAAGAATGCTAACCTTTGGCCCTAGCTTGAACCTTGACGAGCAAACAGCTAACATATGCACCTCATGCTCCTAACACAGTGTATACCGTGGAGCAAAGGTAGTTTATAATGAGAAACAGTTGTGGTCGCTTAGCCACCAGAGGTATGAACGTCTCAGAAATGCATCGGGGAAACCTATCCTGACATTTATGATCCATAACCATTTAATGCACGTGAGTACACTTTCGTATAGCATACGCTGGATGGAACCATCACTGGCGTAACGGCTCCCAGCTGGCGTTCAAATCGCTACGTCAGCTCTTCCGTGACCTTCACCTTGGGGCTATTAACCTTAGATTGTACGTAATACATGAATGTTATAACTCCGTTGACTTAAGTAGCTATGATGTAACAATCGGTAATAGGATTATACTTAGGCTTTGTATGGGGTTAGGTATTACTATTATATTATAAGAGGAAGTGGGGAAGAAAGAGGGAGAGAGAAGGGGAGAAAGAGGGAGAGAAAGAGATTGTGTTTCTGTGTGTGAGAGAAAGAAAGAGAGAGTGTATCTATGAGAGAGAGTAAGACAGAGAGAGATAGTTATTGAGTGTGTGACGAGTGAGAAAAAGGTATTTTTGAATACTTTGAGGGAGAGCTTCCGCATTCATGTTTGGATTATTGCAAATATTAGGTCAGGTGAGGAAATTGCAAGTTAAAGCAGAATGTCGAACAAGAGATCTAGAAAGAGGTTGCCACCTTTCTTTGGGAAAACCCAGCACATACATAACCCAGTAAATACATCTTTAAATTAATAATTTTTTTATCCAGATGAAGACCTAATTCGATGTATGAGCAGATACGAGTGCACAGAAGCCTATCCTCACAATCAGCTGATATTCCTACAAATGCCAATGCAGTATCCTTGACAACACTGATGCTGGGCGCCCTGTCGTACTGGCTCACTTATTCTAGTGGATATTTTAGAATTGGAGGAAAATAGACAACTGAATGTGAATCTTGCTACAGACAGTGCAACCCCGGGGAGGCACTTAAAAATCCATTTTATTTTGGCACTAGTAACCTAGATGCCTATGAAACCGTGAACGAATATCGGTCAGAGTCGGTTATAATTATATAATCACCAAATGCACGGCAAAGAACAAGCTTCCAGTATGATTCTGGAGATAGAGCTACACGCCGATGGAACACGGATAAAAATACACCAAGAATTGATGATGCAGTCGCAGCGTTCTTCGGCCTCAGCGTGAACGATGTTACCAAACATTGGCAGCAGACTTGCAGGAATCCGATGCTGTGCTTGGAGTGGTGCCAAAATCTTGCCCATTGAATGATCCGCTGTAGCAAAAGTATTGATCATGTGTAAGTCGGTCGAGGGCATTTCGTGACCTTGGTGGATTTAATAAGCGCCCATAGTTTTTTCGTTCATTCTCTTGTGCTATTATTACTGCCTTACAACTCGATACGGCCACCGGTTTTAAGAACGTCTTGGTATTACTGCGACTGGGAGGGTTCCCAGTCCAAACTGACGGCTTACCAACTGTGTAAACACAGCGACTAAACTCTACCAATGAATTCTGTGTTGGGGTGTTTGTCTAATTAAATTTGTTTTTGATATGTAAAAACATCACGTCTCTGAAGAGAGCGCCCTTGATCTTGAATATCAGCAAAATGTTTTATCATCGATTTTGGGGGAATTGGATATAACGTATTGACTTCACGTCAGTTTATGGCAGATTGTTAAAATTAGGTCGCCTATTCCTCTGTGGTTTGTTTTAATTTAGCATGGCCATTTTGGAACGGAAATTGGTTATCTCCTAATGCTTTTAAGTCAAAACTCCTTGATCATATATTACGATCAAAACAGGCACTTCCCCCACAAAAATCGATCCTGGTGAATATTCTGTTCCTCGCTTATAAACGATTGTAGTAAGGGTAACGCTCGAACGGTCAATGACGTATCTTTACAATATTATTTTCTCATTAACTGATAAGGCAATTCAGTTTATTCTTTGCACCACAAACCACAATTTCATCGTAAATTATGTATCTGAAACTCGTGACATGGATTCTTTATATAGGTCAGTACATAACTGATACGTTCACACAGTTTTGTAACACGAATCTATTTAAACTGTTCTTCAGTACTCAGCAAGTGAGTGAGTTTAGTTTTACGCCGCTTTTAGCAATGTTTCAGCAATAACACGGCGGGGAACACCAGACATGGGCTTCACACATTGTTCCCATGTGGGGATTCGAACCCGGGTCTCCGAGGTGACGAGCGAACGCTTTAAACACTAGGCTACCCCACAGCCCCGCCCTCTCAATGATATTGCATATCTATAGGCATCTGGCGTCGTCTTGGCATTCTCTTGAGTCATATTGGCGTACACAGTAGGTGCACATTAAGTATACTGGGATTTCCACATAGTATGCATGGACATGTGTGGACATATGAAGGCTAGTTATTTATATTGATTCGTCACCTTTTGCTTGTAAATAAATACGAAAATATATGTTAACATTGAAATATTATCATCCGTTTACGGCATCTCGTATACTGCTTTACGGCATCCGGATTTCCACAGAGCTTGGCATCCGGTTTGTCAAAATGAGGTTGGCATTCCTGCCGATAATCAAGAGTCTATCTTGATGATACGAACAACAGTCCACGCAGTCAGGGTATACTCTGATACCATTCCACCCGTGAAGATGCGGGTTAGAATTGGTCTTCAGTAACCCATGCTTGTCGTAAGAGACGGCTAACGGGATCGGGTCGTCAGGCTCGCTGACTTGATTGACACATGCCATCGTATCCCAATTGTGTAGATCGATGTTCATGCCGTTGATCACTGGATTGTGTGGTCCAAACGAGTATATACATACCGCCGCCATATATCTGGAATACTACAGAGTGCGGCGTTAAACAACAAATAAACCAAACAAATCCAAAGTGGGTGATCAATTGAAACAAACAAGCGAGATCGGGGTTCGATCCTCGGTCGCCTCATACCAAAAGTTGAAAGAGGGTATTCGATGTCAGCCTTCGCGGTGCTCGGAACTAAGGGAAGATACAAAGACTTGTCAGAATTTGGAGTCAGTGTATGCCGTGTTTGAGAGGGGTACCCATATCAAACTTAGTGGCATCTGAGTGGGCTAACACCATATTACAAGAATTACTACGAAGAAATACAAGCACAAGCATACACGCGTGTTGTTATTTACTGTTATAATTCTGAACGCTACATTAAACCACATATCACCTTCCTAACACGAAAGCCCGAAAGTTCGATACAGGTTTTCCTACTTCTCGCATTAATGGCAGGGCTCAGCTGTTATTCAAGCCTAACAATTGATTCAACAGACAGCTCAGATCACAATGTTTAGAGCTTGGCTTTAAACAGCTTTCTTGTATTTGGTTTCATAATCCATCTTAATTCGAGGTTTCATTCAGAAACTTAAAGGGTCACAAGATATCAATTTATTACGGATTTGCGTTGCTGTCATATCACTAGTACTAAGACTTGTATTCTGTCTATTACTATCAGTGCACTTGTGTCGATCATCGATCTCACAGCGGGTATCGCACCTCTCACTTCGATCCGGGCTTGCTTACACAGACATCCCCTCTATTGATCTGGCTGTATTCATGGTATCTCTCAGTGATTGATGAGACAGTCATTGTCTCATCACAACCAATAAGTACCAATTCACGTTTCAAATTAATTCCGCTATCTGGGAAAAGAATGATCCGTGGCCTCGCGGGGCTTTTTCAGTCCGTGCACAACAGGTGCATAGCCGTCACTTGTTACAATCGTAACGCTCAGTTCCAACAAGACTGTGCCTCTGATTCCGAGTGACAATTCGTAACAATACCGACTCTTCGCTTTACTCCGGAAAATCATGATTCTCGTGCAAGGGAATGACAGATGAAATGCATGTCGCATAACACGTGTTGATCCATGCAACCTAAATAGGGCCCCTAGGCCCAGATATCCAGTGAGATCGCATCTCCAGCCTTGTGTTCGGTTACTGTGTCTCGCACTGCTCACCAAACATGGAGCTTACGTTATTCTGCAAATGTCAGCTGATGCGTACTTCAGACTTGCTCGAGTACAGTTGGATGGTCTTTCCGCTATGTATCTGGGTTGTGTGAATTGTACTGCACACTTGAGTCTTTGTGTTGTGAGCAGATCGCCATTGTGTGGAATCGGGTCTCTTATTGCGCGTAACAAAATACAATACTGGCAAGGAAGCCGATTAGTCTGACTGACTGAGTTTGGTTTGACGCCGCTTTTAGCAATATTCCAGCAACATCACGGCGGGGGACGCCAGAAATGGGCTTCACACATTGTACCCATGAGGGGGATTCGAACCCGGGTCTTCGGCGTGACGAGCCAACGCTTTAACCACTAGGCTACCCCACGGCCCGGAAGCCGATCAGTAAATGTGCCGTTTGTTTGTTTGTTTGTTTGTTGTTTAACGCTGCCCTCAGCAATATTCCAGCTGTATGACGGCAATCTGTAAATAATCGAGTCTACACCAGATAAACCAGTGATCAACAGCGTGAGCTTCAATCTAAGCAAGTTTGATACGATGACACGTGTCAACGAGCCTGACCACCTGACCCCGTTAGTCGCCTCTTACGACAAGCATGGGTTACTGAAGACCAGTTCTAACCCTGATCTTCACGGTTCCTGTTCTGTAAATGAGTGAGTTTACTCCGCTTTTAGCAATATTCCAGCAATATTACGGCGGGGGACACCAGAAATGGGCTTCACACATTGTGCCCATGTGGGGAATCGAACCTGGATCTTCGGCGTGGCAGGTGAAAGTCTTAACCACCAAGCCACCCCACCGTTCCGTTCCGTAAATGATTGTTCACTCAACAACACAAACCTTCAACGTAAACGTAGCTATAACTTTGACTTCACAATACTGGCTATTACACTAGATAAAGAATTCCAATCGCCATAGCATAATGTTCTGTTAAAAACTAAAGAGAGTGGAGTGTATATAAACGTAAATTACACTAACTATTGGAAGGTGTGAAGATTTGTGTGTGTTTAAGTATTATTTGAAATTGTTAGAGTGTGTTAAACACTGACGCGTTTGTTTTGTTGTTTGAAAAAAAAAGAATAAACATTAAAAGACTGTAGCTTTAATTTAATTTCACAGATTGCCTGTAGGTAACGTTGTTTCACTTTATTCACGTCCACGTGTAAGCTGTGCTTCGTGACATCCGTGTTATGTAGAAATAAGAATAGAATGTTAGTTTAGAGTCTCTAAATAGTTAGACATGGTGTCGACGCAGTCGTGGCAATGCTATCAGCATCATAGACTAAGGCGAGTCGCTGTATTTAGTGTAGCAAGTACACATTTATATTGAAATGGAAAACAGCAGAGTTCCTGAACCTGGAATTTAGACTTGCTTTATTTATGGGCTTTAGCACTGCAGAGAAGCACAGCAATTAATGGAATTAATGCCACAGAAGTTCGCAGACAGACTATCAGCATCAGTGCGATCGCTGTTTTAGTGTAGCAAGTACAAAGCAAAACAGCTGTTCACCGGAGTTTACCTTGGAGTCAAGTTTGTGTGCAGACTCTTTCAGTGTTATCACAACCCCTAGTGTACAGTACACAACCCTGTGTACTTATGAAAACCCACGAATGTTGGTATATGACCAAATGGTGGCCACATGAATACGTGCAAACACCGAGTGTTACGGGTACAGCAACGTGCAGTTAACTTGGACAAAGTACTGTGACTATGTGTCCCAGTCCACCCAGCTGTGAATGGGTACCTCGTAAGGATGGGAAAGCCACAATAACCTGGTGCGCCTAGTGGCTGCAAGAGTTGTATAGTCCCCAGGGAGTTGAGATTGACAATACGATGTGCCGTTGAGATTGACATCCAATGATCGAGGAGAAAAAAACAAAGCGCCTTCGAGCACCCTAGCTGGAACTTGACGCTATATAAATAGATTATAAGTCAATCAATCAATCAATCAACCAACCAACCAACCAACCAACCAACCAACCAACCAACCAACCAACCAACCAACCAATTAATCAATCTATCAATCAATCTATGTATTCTTTCCAAATGAAATTACGGGCCCGGAAACACTCAATGCCCAATATCAGCTGACCAAGCTAACGGCATTAACAGTCAGCGTTTTACTGTGATATACAGTACATGTATGTTATAGTTTCAATGCGTCTCTATGCGGTAATAGGCTAATTTCGCATATTTTATCAACAATCACAAAAGCCTCTGCAAATCATGTAATATTATCAAATCGTTTTATTTATCTGGGTGTGTATTTGTCATGCGTTCAATGACAGTGTTAGAAATGCAAACTATCCGTTAAAACATATGTTGTCAGCATCCCCTCTGAAACCTGGATGTTGGAGCTCTGAATCAACGACGCTTCCTAGACATACAATGACTATTTGTTAACTCTCCTTAAGGCAATCTTATGTGAACAGACATGTTGGCCTACTTCTCACACATGTCTCATTTATCATATGTAAGTATGGCGTATGTGTGTTTCATAAACGTCAGACATGTA